GCTTAGTGAGTACCTGGCGCACAAGAACTCAATGAGTATCAGTTGTAGTTACTGCTGTTGTTAGTGGTTTGGGATGAGCCTAGTTTTCCAACGTGGCCAAGACCCACGTGGCCATTTATACTGTGGCAATTATTCTGAAAATGAACAGGTTTTTTAATGAGTCTTCTCAGCAGATAGATTTTCATTACAATTTGGGGAATTGTGATTCATAAACACCTAGACCTTGTATCAGCCAACTATGGATGGTCACGAGGAAAATGAATGTGGCCATTTTACCACAAAGATTTGGTAATTTAGTGGTTCAACAGCCAAACTAACCAAGCTGGTCATTAGGCGACCTGGACAGAGTCCAGTCCTCTCAATGCTTCTTGCAACTGAATACACTGTAGAGGGTAAAAGTGGTCTCTAATGCATAGATATTATCAGTTATGGTTTTGAATTTTACACACCAAGAGGCACGTATTGACGGGTCGTTACTTTTGCACTTCACACTGGTGTCAATCCTTCACTCTCTAAAAAAACAACCTAAATAGAAGACCCAATGCCATTGGCTGCCAATGCAAGTAACTTTGCAGAGGGCCATCAGCTGGGTAACATTTTCCTATTATTCCAAGAGATTATTCCAAGTTATTCCAAGAGAAGAGATCTTCATTCAGTCGTTATATGACTGAAAGAAGCCATCACTGTGTTTACAATAATATTCCATAGCGATACATACCGCTGTTTAGACACATTTACATTAGAGTTCTGACTCAAGCGTTCTAGTTGACATGTTTTGCCAGGCAGCTACGGCAAGTGTCGCCACATTAAACATACACCAGCAAGACTGGCACCATATGTGCAAAATCATTCTCTATTATATTTCTAGAAATTGGTATGTAAGAGCTGTCAAAAATTACAGATCTGCACTGTCAAACGACATAGCACTGAATGAGAAAAGTTACGTTTAAGTATTTCCTAAAAATAAAGTTACCCAAGAATGGGATTTTAACAAATGACTGAAATCTAAGAAAAAATGAAGGAGGTAGTGAATGGGTATTGGGTTTAGATTCTAGAGCACGGGTTTGACAGAATCCAAATGAGAGCAAATGTATGTTTGCTTTTCTGAAAATAGTGCCTGTTTCATCTCGCAGGACGCTCCCTCCATTTTCTGAGAGCAACAGAAGGGAGGACAAGACATTAAAGGTGGCAGGAAAATGGAGAAATCCAAGTTTGGATTATCGTCTAGACTCTGGATATTACAGGAATAGCTACTGGACTTTAAAAACCATTCTATCGACATCTGACACGTGGGGTAGTCAGACCAAATAATACATCGTGACACTTTATACCCCTATAATCCTGATAAATCTTTTAGTCAATGTATTTATAACTGATGAAGAGCCAAGAAAGATCCAGAATATAAATTCACTTACTTGCTCTACAGCTGTGAAACAGTTACCAAAGGAAAGGGCAGCAATTTTTTGCGGACAGTGTCATTACCCTCCTACATTCCTGGTGAAACCTTACACAAATGGTGACAGTAACCTAAACCCTGAGGTGGAAACTGGGGGTGTAACAGAGAGATGCCCAGGGTCAAGGGCTGGATGTAATATTTTCAAGTAAAAAGTACAAACTTTAATCTTTACAGATTTCCTTCAAAGCATTTAGCATGGGGGTTAAACCATGAGATTGTGAACAGCGCATCTCAAAGACTCTGTGAGAAACGTGCCTCTAGTTAAAGTGCTCACACAAAGTTCCCCTCCATGGGTTCCGGGCCTACATCCTCTGATGGGGATCACTGAGGTTATCCTGAGCCCAGCAGAACTGCATCTGGGGCTCCAGGTCAGTTTGAAAAGTAGGCATATACTCTTTGTCACAGGATTTTAATTTGGGAAAACACAAGACACATTAAGACACTGTCACTGTTGAGAACTCCTCTGATAGCTGGGATTAGGGGCTACAGCTAGTACTGATAAAAATGCCAAGTTTAGTCTTCCTGTCAGGCCAGCCTTGTGACCTCCTTCTGTCATCAAGGAAGTGGAGCATAGCTGCATCCTGAGCTGTTTTCACTCAATCCATTTTACACCAACAACAGAATGACCCAAGGAGGGTTCCAAAAGCTGACATGAGACTAAGTTTCTATCCATGAAAGCAATCGGTCCAATTGCCAGACATGTAGAAAATCCAACTCAAGAAAATAAGCAACATCTTAAGGACTTCAAAGAGATCAATAGAAAGACAGAGCAGTGTGTTCTTGGTGGTGAGCTTTTAAAATCTGGCTCCATAGAGGCCACATTGGTCTTACAAAAATAAGTGAACATCGTTTGCAAGCCCTGATTTACAAATCGGGTGACCATGCAGGCAACCACCATGAAGCAGGTTAACATAGCAGCCTTAAAGCTCAAATGGTGGCATGGACCAGACTTGAAGGAGAGGACATGGCAGAATATCCAAGCAGATGCTGTGCCACAGCCCAAGTGACCATCAGCATCTGGCTAAAGGAACACAGCTAGCGGGTGAAGGATGTAGTGGGACACCTGATTTGGGGCACATACTCTTAGGTACCAGGCCCGGGAGAAGCATTACAACTGGCTGTGTGATGTGAGTAAGCCACTCATCTTTCTGGGACTTGGTTTCCCCATGCGCGTAAGAGATGGCCAACATGTAGTTCCAATACTTTGGAATCCGTGAAGTACTGGAAAACAGCTGATAGACAAATAATCCACCTGGGATGGTGGGAAGGGAGGGAGACCAGGTGTGCCTGTGGAGCAAAGGCTGTGAGCAACCATGTAGCTTGGGAGCAGAGCTACCCAGTAGCCTTCTCGGGTGATGATAATTACAGCCAAACAGAAAGTTCCCGTCACGCTCTCTCACAGCAGTGGTGCGAGTCCTTCATCTTTAAACACGTCAACATGCAAGGCTACAGAGAGTGAGGGCAGAGAGGCTCTCCTCATCACCCACACTCAAGACCAGCATGACACAGAGCTCCACCATGATGGGCAGATGTGAAGACATGCCGAATTCTGAAGCTTGCAAGAAAACGTACGAGTTGGGAGTTTTTTTTAAAGCAGTAGTCAAATATTATTGCTAAAGGAAAAAAAGGACATTGAACTCAGCACTAAGGGTAACTGAAACCTAATACAAAAAAGCAAAGGTAAGTTGGAAATACAGATAATAATTTTCTTCTGGCCAAGATTTCCTCTCACCAAAGAATCTTGTAAGGCGTGGACTTCTCAGACCTCTAAAAACTTTTCAAAAAGTCTCTTTCTTCCGTGGATGGCCAAAGAACAGTCGTTCCCTGGTTCCCAACCAACATCACATTTGCCCTTATCATTTCTTTTACTTACAAATGTTAGCTAACTTGTCCAAAACGGGATTGAAATATTAGTTCTCCCCACACCACTGAACAGATCTGACAAAGAACCAGCTCTATAAACACTAAAGTTTTTAATGGATGAAACTAAGAATCATAACAAAAGCTAAAGAAGGACCGTGCATATAGCTGGTGCTAAGTACTGAGCATAAAGGGTAACTTACTGTCTCACAGAAAATGGGTCACAAAAACCTCCTCTTTATAAATGGATGCTCATAAACTTTCAGTGAATTTCCAACCCATTTTCAAAGCCCTTAGTCATGTTTGTAGAGGACATTGATAACCTGCAGTAACTTCTGCCCATGTAGCCCTATACTCTACAAAGAATGTAACCATCGGATCTGTGTGATGGAGGAAGCCTCTCCTGCCATCCAAATATGAAGCCCTCGGAAAGATTCTAGCACCTCCACAGTATTTATAGGTAAGGAATGCTCTCAAAGACAGTACTAATTTCCCAGAAGGAGCTCAACAAATTAAACAGGGGAACACAAGTGGGAGTGCTTTAGTGTTAACTTAGCCAGAGCTTGTCGCTCAAGGGAACACTGAGTGGGAAGGAGGCACAAAACATTGGGACGAAACATTTTCATCAGTGACAAGTAACAAAAGTTTGGTGCAAACTGTAAAGATCAACTCAGCACAGAGAGACCCTCATATTTCAGAGAAATTACAGACAAGCCTATTGCATAGCTGTCAGAATGGCCTCGAAGCTGTGTGTATACAATTCCAGAACATCTGGTCAATTCAGTGAGCCCCATCAGTCACACCACTTGTTTGCTCTTCAGTGCACCAAACAACTAATTGATTGAAATTCTCATCGCTCAGCCCATCACTCTGGCAATGTGTCAACAGAACCTGAGTTAAGGCCGTGGAAACTGTGGGTCTATGAACCTACAAAATTAAGCATTTGAAGGGGTTTTGGATCCTGGAGGTTTCTTGACTGACATAATAATGAAAGCTTGCTGTTTGTAAACACCAGAGATCATGTAGTGCCTTTCTAATCAACATGGTAGAATTTTAGGGGGTTAAAATAACTGAAAAAGAACCCAGCTGATTTCCAGTTAATCACTGTCTGGCAGTGCCTTTTCTCTGGCTTGTTTTTAATATAGGCTTTATCAAGGTAGAAACAGCATACAATGTCACCTAACCTAGGTCTTCGCTGAGAAGTATGAATTCAAGTCTTTGTAAACTATAGACAACTAATTTGAATTAAAGTAAGAGAATGTTTGTTCATTGTCCCTTAAAATAACTCCATGTCTCTACCTCCTCTCATGGGCAGGGACTCTAACTCAATCTTCTGTGAGGACCAGCTCTGCTCAGGAAGCAGCACTTACTTGAAGATTTCAGACAGCTGACCAGGAGTTCACCTATTCTTTTTACCTCCACTGTCTAGCTAGTAATCATTCCAAATCTCGTTTGTTTCTTTCTATAATATCCCGAAAGTCTGTTGCAGGTTCCAGAGACTTCCCAAATAACCCTAAAATGGATTTCTATTTGGGAAGTGTGGCAGTAGGTCAAGAGAGTTAAGGTTAGGGATGTGGAAAGTCTGACAGGAGGACATGCTTTGGACTCTCAGGTGATGATAACAGGACACTGACAACTGGAAATCTTCGGAGGACCAGCTACTACAGTGTAAAGATTTTGTCCACTAATCCCCAGACCCATCCTGGGAATTTTTATTGAAGACCTCATCCTGGGAAGCCTGGTGATCGATCCCTTCATAAAACGAGCCACCGTTGTGCAGGAAAGTCCCTACTGCCCGCCCCTGCCGGGCATGACCCACAGCGTCGCTGAACACTTTGTTTATTTGTTCCTCAGAGGGCATCCACCAGTCGGGGTTGGAGGTACAGTGCATCCTAATGAATTCTGTGGGAATAAACACAACAATAAAGAGAGAGAGAGAAAAACAACTGGTTTTTGCAGAAAATGACAGACAGGCTGCTTAAACATTTACAGAAGCTCTACAAGAAATCTTTATGGGAAATCCGATGTAATGCTATGATGATGTCACTCCTTAGACTCAACTCACTACATGTAAGTTTTCTACTCATGTGCAAAAGTACAAATCCTCCTAAGGAACATCTCCTATCGAAATGAAAGGTAAATGTGATCTGTAAGATGTACGAGATACACCATGCTTGGTAAGAGTTATGAAGTACATTTCAAACCTATGGTGGCATCTGTTCACATTTTTAGAATGTTAACTATTTCCGGAAACACAGCAAATATTGTTGGCATGGTATTCTTTAAGCTGCCACTAATCTGCAGATTAAGTGCAACAGGATTAACAAAATCTCAATGACTGAGAAACTGCCCAAATTGTAGCTCAGAACAGATTTTCACATTCTCAACATGTATCATAGGTTATGCTTATTTCTCTCATTAGAATGTCCATACATGTACTGACAAATTATTTCTTACATCAGATTTCTTCTAAATACTTAATTTCACCAGAAGGCAATCAGCATGCCTAGAAGGGTACATATATAGAAAGTAGCCAAGGCTCCCATAAAATAAACTCGGCTTCCAAATGACCTATTCTTCCTGTTTTCTCAGGGGGTCAGGCCACAGGCATAACTCCTACCTGGCTATTTTAATATGAGCCCTTATAAACTGAAGTGAGCATTTTGGAAAAAGTTCTAAGTCAAACTGTGTTATTTTTTGCATAGCTGATTCTAAGTCCAATGTGACTATTATTTACACAGTTTCCTCTCCAACACCGCTCCCTCTACAAGACAATAGGTCTGGTTGTAGGACTGGATTTGTCTAAAATTACTGCGTGCAATTCTGGCCCTATCTGCCTTTGGGAGATGCTGATGCTTTTCAAGTATTTGGACCTCAAAAATCTCAAGAACTGAACTGTGCCCATCTTAGTATATAGAGTCTAGCTCAGCTGAGAAGCAGGGGCATCACTGAGTTCACTGGCATTCCCTTCAATTTTGTTCCTGGGGTGAGAACCTCGCTCATCTCACCGGAGTCCCAGCCTTGGTTACCTTCCTCAAGGGAAATAACAATGTTTATTCAGCAACTCATCCTCCAAAACTGCCAGAATCAGATGGCTTATCCTTGGGTGCAGGCCTGGGAAACACTGAAGGCTAACTCCCTGATCCTCTTCTGTCCCCCTCACACCCCTACTGTATTTAGTAAGTATTCAATAACTGTTGTAGTTTCCCGTCGTCTCTGTCCAGACTCTTCACTCCTATCAGTAGGATTTAAAAGCTAAGGAATGAGGACACTGTGACCTTGCAACTCTGAGAATGTGCCCGCTCTATGACACCTCTCAACCTCCACCTTCTCCTTAGTGTCTGTTGCTGACACAGGACTTTCTCTAATATTGTGGTAAAGACTATTAAAAACTAAATGCAGAGTTCACTCTGTTACACAGATAGGAAGCATCTTCACAGGCCCTCTTCCCTCTAAGGTCAGACCACCTTCAGGAAGGGTCAACCTGGAGTTTGGTTCCATTTTAGAAAGCACCCTGTTTTCAAAGTGTCCAATGGTCTGAGGTTTCCTTGGCTGTTCTAATCTTGCTCACAACAGGGATGTCCACCTTGGGAATCACCAGGTCTAAACCTTTATGAAAGGGATGCCATCTGGGTCACAGGAAGGCCTTAGGATTTCAGCCTTTGGGACAAGCATATAAACAGTCTAATTGGCTGCCCCTGACACAAACAGTCACCACGTTCTGCCTGTGTATTCTCCACCCATGGGCTGGGTGGAAGCCTGTGGCTGTGTCCCAAGGTGAGGCACGAGCTGGAGAATGTAGATTCTGGTCAGCCAACCTGGACTTTGTCAGTGTCACGGTGGGTCAGGCAACATGCTCAGGGCAGCAGCACTGTGCTTTGGGATGCATGTTAATCCCCCAGTTTCACTGACTTGCTGGTTAAAATGTAAACCATTTAGTAAGAATTTCTGGAAAGGGATACAATTGTGAGGCCTCTTGTCCTGACTCCCCTTATAAGCCCCAGGGCAACTTCTTGGAGTACAGTGTTCCCAGGAGCGCCTCAATCTCACAAATGCCTCTGTCACTCTTGGTGAGTAACGCTGTCAGCTCTAATGATGTTGAGAAATAAAGGAAACTCTGGCTTAGTCTGCTAAGACCCTGGAAATTTCCATCACCCACTGAGTAGGTGGAATTTTCAGACTGGCCAACAGGCGGTGCTCTGGCTCACCCATGCCTAGGGGACACTGGGGTTTTCATTCCTGGTGGTTTTCTCAAGGATGGGCCACCTGAACCAGAATCACCAGCAATGCATGCCTCTCTCACTCCTACTCCAGATGTGCTAAATCGGAAGCCTGGGGGCTGGGGGGGAGGCACTAAGGAATTGCAGCTGCTAACAAAATCTACACATGTCTTAGGCGCCGTGATGTTGCCGAATACTGTGGGCATCCTGGGAGGGAATGCTGGAGTGTCCTTTCTGAAAACAAGTCCTCATCAGTAATGATGTTTCTTCACTGTCATTTCTTCGCCAGGAAATATTTTGATCCCTGTCTTAAGTAAATTATTAATAAGCTTTTCCAACCAATAAAATTACTAGTGAATTATAAAGGTTAATGTTTGAGCCTTTTGATGTGAATCTGTCATGTGTGATCAGTGTTCCTGGTGGCGCTATAATGTTTCTACTTGTCTAAATCTGTGTTTATTTGCACCTGCTGAATCAACTGTGTAGCTCTTGATTCCTCCTTCTCACCCTCTGCCTGGCCTACCACAGTGTAGATCAGCTGCAAAGTAATCAGTTGTTAATACTGAGGAAATGGTAGCTTATCTAAGTAGTATTTTTAATATAGAAACTTCAAAAATGCTGACAAAATAAAGTTTGATGGGGCCAGGAATACTTTAGGCACCCCAATTTTAAGGGAAATTAATTCTAAATAAATTTAATAAGGAGTTAGGTGCAAGTACTCTTGAGGAGGTAGCTGGCGGGTGGTGGGAGGCACAAGCTGCAAATGGAAATGGGATATATCATTTTACTAATTTTTGGCAAATTCCACGTCCTCCCTTCCTCCGTGCATTTCCCAATGCTCCAGTTTTGCTGGAGGTGGCCTTCTGTGGCAGCAAAGAAACTCTAGATTTAAAGCGTGAAACATGAGGTGCTATGCAATGCTTATGTGCCACTAAGTGAGAACGCCAAGGCTAAAGCAAACGAAGGTGTTTTAAAGAACTTCTCGATACCAAGTAGATGGGCCACATGAAGCCTAGAAAGGTCTCAGCGGAAAAAACCAAAATACAGTAAAGGCTGAACACTTGCACGGGGGAGCCACAGCCAATGCAGTGAAATGAGATCACAGATGGTGACACTGAGCGGAAGGATGCAGTACCTCGGAGGCATGTTACTTTAACTGGATCCAGAGGGCGTCTTTCAGGACCTGTCTCTCCTGACTGCACTGACCTTTTCCTTTTCCCAAGGCCGCATGAGTACTTAAGCTCATCGGTTGTGAAAACAAATCTGATGAGGTATCGAAGGAGCCGTCTCCCATCTTTCTTTGAAGAATTTACCGCCTCGTCCCACTGTTTGCTCGTTATGTAGACAGGATAGTTGTTCAACAGCTGCTTGCTTCCCTGGAAAAGCGAAGTATTTTCTCATTACCTTAACTTAGCCAGCCAGCCAGCCAGCCAAGGCGATCTCCATTTCAAAGGCAAACATGCTTTTTAACCAAGTGGCTCTGCTGACAATGAACCAGGTACTGAAGAGCACAGGTAATTGCTCACACTGAGAACGGGCACTTTTCAAATTACATTTGCATTTTCTATAACAAGAGCCAATGAGGTATAATGAACACCTTTGAAAGAGGAGCTATTTATAACTTGCATTTTAACAGGTAGGTTAAAATGTGTCAAGATCCAATGACAGGGAACAGTATTTAAATATAACCCGTAACTTTCCTTTTCAATCTATTAAAATATGCAAAAATGACTTTGAAGAGTGTGATCAAACAGGTCTCTTCATCCTTTGGTTGGCGGTTAAGTATTTTTAGAAATGATGCTGGTGGTCTATTTTCATAAGGTATTTACTACTTGTGCTTAATTCGCCTAACACCTGATAGCCACTGCATAACAGTGGAAATGACATTAAAAAGTGAATTTAAAAAAGGGAGAATTGTGAAAACTAAAGAAAAAAAAATCAATAACGCAAACCAGGTTTCCTCAAATTATAGCTTCTGCAAATGCCACTATGTCAACTCAAAATTTTTCTTCCTTTTCATCTTCTTAATTTATGTCTGCTATAAAATTCCCAGGCTCAATAGCTGCAGTGGGACTAATTACAGGAATTTCTGTAACATTTATAAGCCATGTTTAGTCAATTCCACCTACACAACCATTACTTTAGTTCTGGTTGTCCATAAAATTCTACAGTCCAGGACAAATTAATTAACCCATGATCTTAGCTTTAATGTACTCCTTCCCTAGTAATTAAGGTGTACAAAATAAAGAAAAACTCATTCAGTTTTACAACTCTGCAAATTTACTACAGGTTATAAATTTGGCACTGTTTGGGTCTGATAGGGTTTTATTTCAAAAACTGCTGTTAGTTGAGCACTGAGAAGGGCAAATGGCACAGGACCCAGGAGGAAAGGTGCAGACAAGACTGTCCCCTAAAGCTGCATGGAATCACACCCGGGGAAAGTCATCACCACACTGGTCACACTTCCTTGAACTAGAAGGAGTGTGGCTCAGGTTCCTTGTTATAAGGGAGGCAGCTGAGGCACACGGTTTGTACTCTGAATTTAGACCAGCTGCAGTCTGAACTGAATCTTGGTTCCAGGTGTTATTTGTGTTTCTTGAGCAAGTGACTTCAACTGGTTGCACCAAAGTTTCCCTGTTTATAAAATGGGAAGAACTAAATTATCATGGGTTTAAGACTTGAGTATAGGGGAGCATGAACCAAGACTTGGCTCTGGTGCTGTAAATGATCACAGATGGGCAAGAGCCCAGAGGTTCAGAAAGGGTCCCCTCAGCCCAGGCTGCTCTCTCACAGCCCGGGGTGAGAGACGGAGGGTTGATAGGAGTCTGAGGTAGCACAGAGAAGCAAGGAGGAAAGATACAGAATCCAGGAGGGCAGGCAACCATTCCAGTGAGCCAGGGTGTGGGGGACTGAAGAGTCAAGGTGATTCCCAGGTGAAATGGCAGTGTCCTTCACAAAGACAAGGAACAGAGAGAGGGTCACGGCATGGAGAAGGAGATAGATTGCAAGGAAGAGAATTCTCCTGCTTCCCATGCACAGGGAGAAAAGGGTTTACCAGGGTTGTGATTAGTGGAGCTCTCAGGACAACAGGGTGGGGCCCGAGGAAGGTGGAATCCAGGGCTGGTTGCCTCAGACCACGGATTGTGTCAAAAAGTATTTCTGTGGAAGAACATTACTGATAACCGCCACCATTTACACAATCAGCGATGCACAGACTGAGGCTAGCCCCGTGCACTCTGTGGCCTTGGCCTCTTCGCTGCTCACACGTGGTGCTGCCAGTACCCTTGCAGAGCCGGGCTCTGGGGCAGGCCTCAGACAGGTGACCGACATGGAAGCTTCAGCTCTGTCTGTCAAACTAAGGATAATGATCCCCGCTTGCAGCTTTGTGGTGGGGAAACCACCCATCTCCCCACCTGAAGATAATAAGCCCATGAGGGCTGGGGTTTTTAGTCTGTGCTTTACTCAATGCCTTATTCTCAGGGCTGAGAACAGTGTCCGACACACAGTAGGTGCAGTGAATATCTGTACAATGACTGATGCAGTAGATGCTAGTGTGGCTGCTATGAAGCACACGCTCAAGAATGGTGGCTACAATGAAGAGTTCTTTCTTGTTTTCTTTCTCTCTCTTTTTACTGCTGCGGCACTGGGACATGTGAAGAGCTTCTGATGAATAGAAATGGGCAGAGTGAAAGATCTTTAAGGAGAGCAACAAAGACAAGGGGCCATTAAAAGCTGGTACTAGGGACAGAGGGCTTCTGCCAATCCTTAATTTAAGATCATCCTTTCAGTGATGGTCCTTGTAAGTACACCTGTCAGCCTCAGAAAAGGAGACTGAGCAGTGGGTTGTTAAACCTTTTACTTATTTAATGTTGTGCAAGTTTTTTTTATTATTAAAAAAATTTTTAATGTTTGTTTACTTTTGACAGAAAGAGAGAGTAACAGAGTGAGAGCAGGGAAGGGGCAGAGAGAGAGGGAGACACAGAATCTGAAGCAGGTCTCAGGTTCGAAGCTGTCAGCAAGCACAGAGCCTGATCGGGGTCTTAAACTCATGAACCAAGCGAGATCATGACCTGAACCAAAGTCGGACGCTTAGCCAACTGAGCCACTCAGGAGCCTCTAATACTGTGCTTTAAAACAGCTTCCGGTGCCTGGGTGGCTCCTAGTCGGCCATGCCTCTGCTCAGGTCATGATCTCAAGAAACCATGGTTCGAATGCTGGACTCCTTGTGCTGACGGCTCAGAGAGCCCTCCTGCTTTGATTCTCAGGTCTCCTCTCCTCTGACCTCCCCATTCATGCTCTGTCTCTCTCTCTGTCTCAGCAAATAAATAAACGTTAAAAAAAATATTTTAAATAAATAAATAAATAAATAAATAAATAAATAAATAAAAACAGCTTTCCCTTGGGTGTCTGAGCTCATTGGGCAAGACAGGGTTCCTGTAACTGTTTTGCCAAGGATGTTAAATCCTTTTCCAAGGTCTCACAAGACAAAAGGTGAACTAGGAACCTTGGTCCTTGAATCTGTGTTTCAATCTCTCAAGACCAGGGTTGAGTCTGTTTCAAGATGAGAGGTGCTGGAGATGAGGAAGCTCAGAAACCAAGGAATGAACTTTCTCAAATCCTTAAAAAGAATCCACTCGTACAGAAGAACTCAACAGCTTCCCGTAAGCCTCCAGGCGTAGAAATACTGGCCTGGAGTGTACTTTAAAAAAAAAAAAAAAAAGGAAAAGCAGGAAGAAAGTAATTTACAGCCCCAAACAACTCAGATGCTCCCTGTTTTAAGGATGAGATTTACCATACTGTTTTATTTTTTTAAATGTTTATTTATTTTTGAGAGAGAGAATGTGAGCAAGGGAGGGGCAGAGAAAGAGGGAGACACAGAATCTGAAGCAGGCTCCAGGCTCTGGACTGTTAGCACAGAGCCCGAGGCGGGGCTTGGACCCATGGACCGTGAGATCATGACCTGAGCCGAAGTCAGATGCTTAACCAAACTGAGCTACCCAGGAACCCTGATATTTACCATACTGTTTTACCATAGTTAATAGAAATAAAATGTGATCAATAATATTGAGAAAATGCCCACATGCCTGAAATGACAGTAAAAACAGCATAATAATGGTGATGATGGGTAATAAAAAAGTTTGAATATTCCTATCCAGAGGAAATGTAGATATGTCCCTTTTTTATGTTTTCATAAATTCTGATTGCATAGTCTCTTCAATTAGCCACCAACAGGTTATTAAACTCTCATCTATAAATCACTTTGAAAAAACCAAAATAAAAAGCATTCATTTAATGCATTCACAGACTCAAACAAATGGAAGACATATTACTTAACATTTAAGTAATTTCTGAATTACTCTTAGGAACAATGTGCTCTGTGAGCACAGAGAGGGTATGGCAATCAGGGAGAACTTCTTGGAGGAAGTGGGCTTTTTAGAAGTGTTTTTCTGTATAACAGAAATGTCAAGTTGGGAAATGTGGACCCTATTCTAGGGAGTAAACAAAGGATTTCAAGCATGTGACATTTATTCTGGAATAAATACTGGTTTAGAAAACTAACTTCCTAGTGTGGAGAAAGGAGAAGAATATGTTGCATAGTCCAGGTAAAAAGTGTGGGGTGAGAGGTAGAGAAAAGAGACACTACTCAATGTAGCTGTGGAACAAGCAGATGTCAGGAATGAGGAAGGAATCAGTAATGCCTCAGAAATTTCTGCCTGGGGTTGTTGCTGCCTTTACTGCAGAGAAAACAGGGGTAGGGATGGGCATTCAGAGGCCATGCCATGAGTTTGAGGGTGCAAGAGCATTCCATTGTTGGTCAGCAGTTGGACACAGTGGCTGGGAGTTGGGGACTGGTGGCCCAGATCTAGATTTGGGACTTGTTAACCTGCATGTAGCTGGTGTTCAGAGAGAGAACATAACTGACTGGAGAAGGGCAGTGGATGGTGAGAGAGGGAAATGAAAGATGACACTCTGGGGAAATGGTGGATGGAAAAGGACAAGGAAGGAGAAGACAGTCCTGACACTGAGTCCAAGAGAAAGCATGGAGCAGAAAGGTGAGGTCCTGGGGATAATGGGAGCTGGAAAAAGGGCCCCTGCACTGGCGCTGGGAATGTCCCCAGGGCCACTTGCAGAGGACTCTGGTAAGTAGTCAAGGTGCAGCCAGATTCTTGGGGGTAAAAGAGCAAGTTGGAAACCAAGAATGGAGTAACAAATACAGACCAGTCTTTCAAGTGTTTTAATCTCTAAAGAAATGAGGTGACCATTCTCCAAGTGCCTTCAATGACAGGCACTGGAGACATGGCCCAACCTTCAAGGAGCCTGATGCATGGTGGTGCACAGTGGAAGGGTGGACAGAGACTGCAGTGCGTGATGGAAAGAGAAAGAAAAGATGATAATGGAGGGAGTGTGGGAGCATCAAGGGAAGGCCGAGTTTCATGGTGTTTGATACTCAGAGGAGTGACCCGGTAAATCGGTGCACAAGACAAGGAATAACTGATGGCACAAAGCCCCAGAAGGGGGAGGGCAGCATGGATGAAAGAACAGGCGTGGATGGGTAGCCCCAACAAGGGGCAGGGGCATGGCTTCCTGGGGGCACCAGGTGTGCCAGAAGGTAGGAATCAGTGCAGCAGAATTCACCGGATTGACTTCAACTTGGTATCGCTTACTTTTTTGCAGAATTCAAGAGAGGGAGGGTGGTGGCCCCAGGGACGGGGCACTGGAGGAAAGGGGCAGACACTCTGAAGTAGCTCCTCCAAACTTCAGGGAAAGGGAGTGACTGCCAAACATGTCTCATGCCACAGGTGAGTTTCCGTGTCTTTTCATTCTCTGGTCTATTTTATGTGCAGAAAAGTGGGGAGTGGTGTTTTCTTGTCTATCTTCAGCAGCGAGGCATGGGGTCAGGGTGGGAATGGCAGGTGTGAGGCTGGATCTATGAAGTGGATAGCACAAGGATAGAATTTTTTAATATTTATTTTTGAGAGAGAGAGAGAGAGAGAGAGAGAGAGAGAGAGAGAGAGAATAGGGGAGGGGGAGACAGAGAATTTGAAGCAGAATCCAGGCTCTGAGCTGTCAGCACAGAGCCCGATGTGGGGCTCAAACTCACGAACCATGAGATCATAACCTGAGCCGAAGTCAGACGCTTAACTGACTGAGCCACCCAGGCGCCCCTTGAGAAAGGAATTTCAAGATGATTTCAACTAGACACAGACAGTATGGAAGGATGTGTGAAGATGAGATGAGAAGGTCCACAGCCTGCTGTCACCAGTGAACAATTCACCTTGCCAAAAGAAGCAAACTACGTAAAAAGAGCTGACATACTGCTATCAATCTAGGACATTTCTAACCTCAGCACCATACAGTGCTGTTGTTACTTCCATTGGATTTAGGTTCTAAAGTCTGTATGATTAAAACAACATATTTTAAAACCGAGCCTTGAAAATCTTGTAAAAATGTACCATGTTTAAACTGACATGCCATTACCAGCAGAACAGACCCTTTCTCCTACACTTTGGAAGGGGCTGTGGTTGCTCCTACCAAGGTCCAGAGGAAGAAATGCTCATGTTTCAGAGCCCAGGGTCTGGTGAACACCCATCTAAAAATCAAGAAGTGTGGGAGGTGCCTTAGAGCAAGAGGTTTTTTGGAATACTGGCTCTGCCAGAGAAGGGCAGGCTGGTGTTTCCCATTTCAGCCCCTGTGCCGCAAGAATGCCAAAAGACTTGCCTATGCCATTTAAACTGGCATTTCTTTACCGCCCCCTCTCAAGAGTACAGCGTTGAATCTTGGTGAGTCAAGTACACGCATGATCTTCCTCCAAAGTACATGGACTCATAGGTAATAAGCACCACAGACCTCAGAGAGTCAAAAATGTGTCTTGCCGGCCATCTGTTCTGGCGCATCCGTGGAAGCTATTGAGAAGCTTGGTCTGAAGGAAACTTCAGACAGAATGATGTCTACCTTCTTCCCTAGGAACCTACCTCGGCGGGCTGGTCGGCTGGCTGGGGGATCAGGAGCTGGTTGTGATGCTGCAGCACAGTCTTCAAATAATCCAGAACAGTCTGGCAGGGCACTGGGTGGGAGAGATGGCAACGATTACACATTAGCTACCCCGGGACAAGGAAATCAAAAGCTTTAAAGTTTGAAGAGATTTTTGATGTAAACATCTAAATAAAAAAAGACTTATTTTCTAAAGGAAATAGAATCTTCTTTCATTTGACATCCGTAGTTATTTCAGTTTGTAAATACAGAACAGATGCTATGATTTGGGGAGAATTTTTAGGCTCAGCACAATTCACTGAAAACTTTCAAGTCATACTTAAAGATGGATTTGGGTCAATAATATGATCAATGAACCACTCACAGAAGATATGTATCTTGACTTCTTTGACTCAAGTTGTAACATCAGCACTCAGTGATGTTTTTTAAAATCAAGGTACTGCAAACTCATGTTTTGCCAGTTTTTAATTAATAATATAATGCCCAATTTTACTGACAGATTCATTCCTAGCTCTGCAAGCAAGCAGGAATGCCATGCAGTGTAGACCTGCTTCCCAACGTGGATACAGCTGGCCAGGGTTTTTACTCATCTGGTCCAATACAGAGTTGGTTATTGTGTATTTCATTAACTGTTGCACTAATCTTTTCAGGTTGAAGCTCATAGATTCATTGAATAATTACCATAAACTAAACAGATAGTAACCCAACATGGTACATTTTTTGTACCACTGCAGAAATAATTCCTACATCTTAAGATTAAGAGCCATTTCAGAAGTAGTACTAATTGCCTTTAAAGGTCTTGGTAGCTTAGTTAATAACCCAGTTTATAGGAATTATTGCCACTATCTGTCTCAGATGTGTGTTTTCTTTAGCTTTTTTTTTTGTCACAGTAAAGAAAATAATGAATATTTAACCGAAATCCCCAGTTTAAAGTATCACTACTGCTTCTTGGTTTTTCTCACCTTTTTTTTTTTTTTTAAAAGATTGCAAACATAAGTTATCATCTTTATCTACACAGCTAATAGCTTTGGGTTTTTCAGGTGACATCACGTATTAATATAACAAATCAAAAAACTACATCAACATCCTTTTGAAGAATCTGAATGATAGGAAGTAGAAGTAGTTTAAGAATCTTGCCCAGGGGCGCCTGGGTGGCGCAGTCGGTTAAGCGTCCGACTTCAGCCAGGTCACGATCTCGCGGTCCGTGAGTTCGAGCCCCGCGTCGGGCTCTGGGCTGATGGCTCAGAGCCTGGAGCCTGTTTCCAATTCTGTGTCTCCCTCTCTCTCTGCCCCTCGCCCGTTCATGCTGTCTCTCTCTGTCCCAAAAATAAATAAACGTTGAAAAAAAAATTAAAAAAAAAAAAAAAAAAAAA